TATATATATATATATATATATATATATATATATATATATATATATATATATATATGCTGGGGATACACAGACTTAAAATAATTTACATTTTCTGAACAAGAGAAACTGTTTCAAATGTGAGGACAATTAGATTTTTTCCCCCTGTTTTATGACATTTACTCTGACTCATCACATAGCTTTTATATAATTTAATGAATTACACAGCCGGCTGCCCTTTGCTTTAAAGAAAAAATGGCTTTTAAATACGTCCAGACTGGCATTTAAGACAAGAATCATCATCCATTTTTCCCCCCGTTTGTTGTCTCCACTGCAGCACATGGTGGGAGGAGCTAAACACGGATGTGTGTCCGGGGCTTTTAAGGCGGGCCTTCAACTCACCCGTTATGACATCAACCAATGAGCGGACAGCTCACGTAGTAAGCAGCCAATCAGAGAGCAAGCATCCCTATTATGTGTCTGTACTCAGGTTTTTGATAACAAGCTAGCAGACAGTCCTTATTTAGACCGTGGCTTATGAATGAAAACTTAGGTTTGCACGAGAAAATTACTAAAATAAGTCATTTTCAGATTATTCAGTCCAATATATTATTAATATTTAAAATAAAAAAATAAATAAGAGTTTCTATTTGCTTCATTTTGTCCACTAGTTAGTGTCCATGCCCTGAGACAATGTAGAAAAGTGTTTTTTAAAGAGCCACTCACCAGCTCCTGTCCCACAGCACGGTGGGATCCACCAGGCGGATGAAAACAGGGTTGTCATCACCTCTTCAGGAAACAGGGTCACATGCCTCTGTATCTGCAGCAGGTTGAGCACCAGCGCCAGGAACACCCCCACCGTGAAGAGGACCAGACCCCTTCGGATGAGGTTGGCGGTGCGGACGTCATGCAGGGAGCCGTAGGCGCTGCTGAGCATCGCGGTGATGATGGACATCATCTCTTCAGCCTTAGAAACGAACGGGCTCGCTCCGGACAAATTCTTGCTTTTAGCTTTCGGTGAACAAGAGCAGCTCCAGCAGTGGTCCTCTAATCTGGGCATTTGGCCCCTTTGTGCTGCTTGGCACAAATGTAAATAGACTAGTTAGCAGGGTAGGTATAAAAAAAAAAATCTAAGTATTAAACTAGGAGTCAAGAGTTTAGCCCTTACCTTGGTGTCCAGAGGGTTTCAGAGGCTGGTTGAAACAGAAACCTCCACTGCTGCTCATTCAGCCAGGGTTCCTCTCTTTGTCTTCCTGCTTTTTCTAGTAATCACACGAATATCGTTGTTTCGTTCACATCGTTTTCAGTAAGCACACAAAGTGTTGCTTCCTTCCGCGGGTAAAGAGTGAGCTGACCGTACCAACGAGAACAGCAGCTTCCCCTGCAGAAAACAATCTCAGCTGAGTCGGGTGAGAGTCGGCAGCCAATCGGAGCGCGGCGGCTGATATGACGTATAGTCTTTCCCCGCCCCCTGCGTCCGGTGCAGACAGACGCACAGATCAGGTGGCTCTGGGACAGAAGTGAAAGTAGAAACTTAGCAATCCTTTAACAAGGGAGAAAAACATGTAGTCATGGCTTATAAGAAAGCATTCCATTTATGCAACAATTTATTTTTGATCTTTTAGTTTTGTGACAGAAATGTAATTTCATTTTAGCAGTTATTATTATGGTTATTTATGTCAGGTTGGAAGGAGGAATTTGGGACATTCAAGGTACCATAATCCAAATGATGACTCATAATATGGCTAAAATTGCACCTGATCTTAATTTTTATTGCTGCAGGTGATGGGTTCATGTGGCCCTCTGTTAGTTTTTTATGGGCTTAACCTGGTAGCGACCTTGAAGCTAGGGCCAACCTATTTCTAACCACTTTTAGAAAGGCTCCAGGAGGGTAAACCAATTATCTCCTTAATCGAGAACTCAAAACTTTTTCTGACTCTTCTATATTCAGTTTGCCATGGGCATAGGTGACAAGTAACAAAGTACAAATACTTCATTACTGTAGTTAAGTACACTTTATAGGTATCTATGCTTTACACCATTACTTATTTTTCTTCTGACTTCTACTCATTATATTTTCACACAGGTATCTGTACTTTCTATTCCTTACATTTTTAAAACAAATGTAACTCGTTATTCTTTGCTTCGGTTTAATGTTTATAAATATTTATTTTGTGTCATGTGCGCCATCCAATGCAGATCATTGGCACCATCCACATCTAGTGAAACCTAGTGTAATTGGATGAGTCATATAACGCAAACACTCATTGGTTAGCTAAAGGAAATCCTCAGAAGCAGGCAGGTGTTCTTCAAACTGTAAAGACGAATTCTATGCCATGCTACAATGTCAGATTCATAAAAAGATGTTGAAAGGTCGCAAACAGGCGAGAGCGTATCGAGAAATGGAGATGGAGACCAACAAGACCTCCCTCATCCTTGGCTCTATCTCAAAGAATTATTCGAAATACTCAAAATATTAAGCTTTCAATTCATATAGTGGCCTCTTGCTGTTTTTTTAAAGGTTACTTTATACTTTTATACTTTAACTAGTTTCTGGAGCACATACTTTTTCTACTTTTACTTGAGTAAAGAGGTCAAGTTGATACTTCAACTTTTACTAGAGTGTTTTTAAACTGCAGTATCTATACTTCTACTTAGGGAACAAATGTGTGTACTTTTGACACCACAGGCCATGGGAGATCTTATTTGGTGGAAAGACCTCAACAAATGACCAGGGTCATAGGTACTCAAATTCTAACCCATATTAAGAAAGTGATACAATTGAGGTCCAAGTTTTCTGAATGCTCCCTAAATGGTCTCTAATGCTTAGGTTCAACATCATAGTTTGATCTTTTCTAAACTGTATACCCTCAAAGAACCTTCATGACCCTTTTTTGTTTAGGTTACCCGTAATAAATTGAACAGCAACCCTCACAGTGTGTCATCCAAATATTTTCAGATCCCAATCCCCTAAAGGTTAAAAGCTAATAATCAAATTGGAATGGCTGTGCTAATATTCCTCCCAAAAAAGTTAATTCTCTAAGATTTATAATAAAATCTACATCAACAAAAGTTCAGCTAAATGTCAGAATGGCTATGCACTTTCTCTCTTCTGTTAAATGTTCAGTGGATGAAAAAAAGAAAAGTTAGAGGAAAGTGTGGGGAACCTCCACAAGCTGAGCTTTTTTACATAGTAAAAAAATGTGTAAAGCCTTAAGAAAGTGCAAGTTTTTTGTTATAAATTATAAATATAAATTTATAGGAAATGTTCACCGTATTATGAAAAGTCCCAACATCTAAACATACATATTGCCAATTTTTTATGTAATGAAAACAAAAGTAGAAAAAAAAAAATCCTTAAACGTTCAATATAAGTGATACAATATCCCTTTTATTACTAATAGATATGAAATGTCCCAGTTTGAAGATAGAGACATTTAACCGGATTTGGGAATTCAATGTGGGAACATTTCTGAGAATTCTTACAAACCTCGCCTTAAATCCAATATGACAACCTTTCATATATAAAACAGTGATAGCCTTTGTAGAAAACGGTTGTTTATCTGTGCCTCTTTGACGAGTTGTGTCTTACTGAAACGGCCAAACACATAGTTCCAATAAACATTCCTTTGCTGAACAGCTTGAACCAATATCTAAAAATATAGAGAGATTATTGTATGCTTGTATTCCTAAAGTAGCTGACATGTTCGATAATGCCTGGATATTGATTAAGCAAAACTCAAACAGTCTGAAAATGTGAATGAGAAAACTAATCCTTTGGTTTGATGTATCCCCATAAGACAGGTAACTTTGAGAACTTCATTAATGACATTGAATTATTATTATAGCTCTAAAGGAAGGCCAAGTGACACCGGCAGGACTTATACCAAAATTTGAGAACCATGGCATGAAAAAGTCTATGAGCTAAATGATATAAGTGAAAAAACAAAGAAACATAAAAAGTATTTACCAAATAGCCAATGGTCCAGTCAGGACAAAGAAGATGAAGAATCAATCTTTCTGTCTTTAATGCAGACCTGTCTGTTTAGCACTCATCCCTAATCCCTTTTACAGGTACTCTTATATACAGGCAGGCACTGGGAAATGGGGTCAGTGGGGCAGCTTTTTCCCCTTGTTTTTCACATGCTGCACTAGCTGTGAACTTTGGGTCAGTCTACAGGAGGTGTGGCTTACTGGTGTGTAGAGTCCTATCACGTCTATCAGAGATAGGGTACTTGGCACATTGGTCATTGACCGTCATCTATGGCCGACAACAACATAAAGACGTGTTTTTGTCGTAATGTACTATGCCTACCCTGGCAGCAAACCAACATACACACTCACACTCTGCAAATATCAGCCAGACAACATGTACAATCCAACATATGATCAGTATATGATAACTAATGTTTACATAATATGGATCATTTAAAAAAACATGATGCCTAGATAAAGCAAACTCACTCCTGTGATAATTTAATTGTTTAGGTTGTGTGTGGAACTTTAAATTGTCTTTATACTGAATTGAGCTATATAAATATAAAAACCTGCCTTACCTTAAGCTACTGTACCTGCTTCCATCAGAGATTTCTAGCTCTGCTTCTGGTGGCTTTCTGCAGAATCAAAAGTTTTATTCTAAGCAGAATTCTGAATTGACAAGTGTTGTGTCTGGTTAAATGTTCAGGTCAACAGAACAGATCTTTTCAATCTTAACATTATTTCCTACTCAAAAGCTTAAACATATAGAGCGAAACCGTACATTACTTTTTAAATATTTTTGTGAGGGTTTGAATAACATTGCAAACATCTTTTCAAAGCATCCCGTGAGTCATAGTGAACATAATTGAAATACTTGAACACAAACTGGCAATTACTCAGTTCTTAGTCATTCACACAAAAACATTGGTGGCAACACAGGTCTATAAATAAGTTAATATTTTAGCAAACTATACAGTCGTAATGCCTGCTTTTAGACGGGCAGCAGGCATAAATGCAGAGAAAAGCAGAAGTAGTATTAGTAGTATTCATAGTTGTTTATAAAAGAAATGTACACAATATGTCAACCAAACTAATGCAAGTAGCAGCTCAGTTAGTGGCATTCTGGTAAAACAACAACAACAGGTGAACACAAAAGTACAGCTGTGCTTTCTTTGTAGAAAACAGAAAGGAGAAAACCCAAAGTGCTTTACTTCTATAAGCATAGATGAAGACTTGCTAGTAAAGATGGTAATATCTGGAAAAATAGTTATCGAGTCCTCCGACATCCTAAACCTATAGCAGCATAACTATACATATAGTTCAGCATCACATTACAAATAGGAACTTTAAAGTTTAACAAAAGGTAAGAATTCAAGCACATATAAACAAGGTTTTTGCTTAATAGCAATAGTAGTGAGCCTGTTCTACACCGTGAGGAGCCTGATCATGAAAAGCTCTGGTAATTGTTTCAAGTTTATATGTTTTTGGAACCTCTAGCAAGCCTACAATATTTGATATAGGTCCTCTGAAACAGAAATATATATGGTAGAAATAATAAGTATTAGTGCAAAAAAGGATATCGAACCAATACAGACATTTTTAGTTTGGGCTATATTAAACTACAAAAACAACTTAGAATGTGTGTTTTATCTGCAATATGCAGAACGGCTAAATCTCTCACTGTCTATTGCATACATTTTAATAAACAAATGTTTAAAAATATAACTAGGAAAATTAAAGACTTTTATGACTTAAGAAGTTATAACAGTCATTGGCCACTTTATCAGGCAGTTTGCTAGTACTGATTTTGTAACTGGTGACTGTGGAGCCAAATCAAACCTACAAAATTGTCGGTTGCTCATTTTAAAGTCTAGCAGGTCATTTTCAGCTTGTCTAGCGTAATAAATCTACAGTAGCAGCCATTCCAAATGGCCTATCCCAGTAAAACGCCAGCCGAATGGCAGCCCACTTCCCTGCAACTCCCAGCAGAATATCCTTCAACTTCCAGCTACTGGAGTGACCCCCCTCCTTCTACTGGGCGTGCATATTGTTTTACTCTGACTCCACCCTTTCACTGGCGCTTCTTCTTAGATCTTAAAGTCCACAAATCATTACAGAAAGAATATTTTAGTACAAAGATTGATGTTTAAAAAGAATTGTAGGGGACCAGCCAAGGGCCCATCAAGGAAAGTGGGGAAATTTTGACTGGCTACTACTGTATTTATTTGGCAAATTTGTGTTAATAAGCTGAGCAGCTTTTGATTTTACACAATACAAGTACAATAAAATGGAAACCAAAAACACAACATATAATAAAATCAAAGACATATGATAAAATTCTGGGTCTTCTATTCTCAGGGTCAAATACTTCAGGCTGCAAATCAAATATGGGGCAGTATATAAAAGCCCAGCCTCCTACTCT